GTCTAATTATCATGCAAAATGCATTCACCCCATGACAACATTACTAAAAGTCTCAGTCCATTATAGCAGCAACTCTAAAATCTCATCTAAATGTCATCAGCTCATAGTCCCAAATCTCACCTAAATCAGGTCAGGGTGAGACTCTGGAGAGGATCCATCCTGTGACAAAATTCTTCTCTATCTGTAGACCTGTGAAACTGGAAACCAAGTCATCTGTTTCCCAAAACAGATGGGAAACAGTGTTTGGACGGGCACAGGGCAGACATTCCCATTGCAAAAGAGATATTGGAGGAAATCAGGGAATCACCAGTCCAAGCAAGTTCCATATCCAGCAAGACAAATTCCTTTGGGTTTCAAGACCTGAAAATAATCTGTGGCCCAATGCTCTGTGCTCTGGCCCTGTGATGAGCCCCTGCCCCCCTCTGCCACCACAGCTCTGCCCTTGGAGACATCCTTTTTCTTAAATGGTAACACATGTTTGCAACCAAGTAACCAAGTATCAGCCGTTTTCCCACCTACAGAATTGCCAAAAGTCTTCCTTCATTTTGAACTCTCTCTCTTTTAGTCCAAGCTGTCATGTTTCTACTAATAATACAACATTCTCAAACACCTTGTGGGCCTCCCGTGTATGTTATGGAGGTCTGTCCCATCATACATGAGGGTCCTCCACAGATCTTTCCTGGATAGCCCTGTTGTTATTCCAGCCTTCTGCAGAGATGTTTGAGTAAACCCGTAAGTCTCATGCCTAATCTCTTAAGCCAAACCCTTGATCCTCTCTCCAGACCACGGTTTTCCAGCAATAAACTTCCTAATTTTAGCATCCTGTGTGATCTGGATAGTGGGAGAACCTCCCAAATCATCAAGTGCTTATTTTTTTTTCCTTAACAATTTCTTCCTCCTATTTACTTCTTTCTTTCATATTTTATTATAAGCAGCAAGGAGAAACCAGGCTGCTCCTTTGACACTTTCCTTAGAAATCTCCTGAGCTAAACACACAGGTTCATCACTTGTAAGTTCTGCTTTCACCCAACAATAGAACACAATTCAGCCAAGTTTTCTACCACTTTATAACAAGGATTGCCTTTCCTTTATCTACTAATACTATGTCCCTCATTTCCTTCTGAGATCTCACCAGAAGAACCTTTAACATTCTACTAAGATTCTGCTCATGACTATGTATGTATATGAATATATGTGCATGCATATAGATTCATTCTCTAAAATGATAGCTTTCTCTACTACACTCTTCACTTCCTCCTAGGCTCTCATCAGAATTGCTGTTAGCATCCAGATTTCTATCAAACATCTCTTCAAGGAAATCTAGGCTTCTTTTTCTACCATTTTGCTTCAACCTTCTTCTAGCCTCTATCCATCAGCCAATTCCAAAGCCACTTCCCACATTTTTAGCTTTCATTACTGTGGCATCCCCTTCACAAAACCAAAATCTGTATTGGTTGCCTAGGGTTGCCTCCAGCTTGGTGCCTTATTCTCTGAGTTCTGAAAGTCAGAAGTCTGCAGGGAAGGCCACTCTCACTCTGAATTTTGGGGGAGAATCCTTCCTTGCCTCTTTCAGTGTATGGGGGCTCCATGGGTCCTGTGGCTTGTGGTCGCATAACTCCAATTTCTGCCTCTGTTTTCACACTGCCTTATTCTGTGTCTGCACATCTCAAATCTTCCTCTCCTGTCTCTTAAAAGGACACCATGAGTCATTGGATTTAGAGCCCACAGTAAATCTAGGATGACCTGCAGATCTTTTAAAATTACCTATGCAAAGAGCCTATTTCCAAATAAAGTCACATGAACATATACTTTTGAATGCTGCAATTCACCCTACTACAAGGGCCTTTGGGGAGAAATAATTACAAACCTGGAGCAGTGAGTGCACGTGATGAGCCAGGAGCATCTGGACACATCAGGTAGAAAGAAGCTATCAGAGACTACAAAGGTCATGTCCTAAGAACTCAGGGGCCAATTGGAAGAGGCTCCCACTGTCCAAAAATGAAACACTTTGGGCATCATGAAGACAAAAAAATACAATGTTTTGAAAGTGATCAAATATCTTTATATTCATGAGTTCCAAGTAGTTTTTTTAATTGGGTTTGTTATCTCACAAAGATAACAGAATACCAACTTGGTATCTTGAAACCTAAATAAAATGAAAGAATTAGGCATCTATCTTTGTTTTCCTATATGAACTGCACCACTGAGTAATCAAATATTAGATAAGGAGTATCTCCTTATGAAAACTATTCCAGCTAACACATGGAAAAATGATAGAATTTTACTATCACTGTTTTGCAGCCACTGTGAATTAATGGATCTAGGCACTGAACATGAATAGCATGTAACATCAAGAAGAAATAAAATCAGACATCATGTGCCTCCAGGTGAAAGACTGACCAGCAGTCTCGCCAAAGGGGTCAAACCTCTGGATCAGGGGTCTGATCAAGCCTCTGAATCCTGTTGCCAATTGGCAGAAAACACAGAGGACAGAGTGACATATTGAACTGTATGGGGACTCTACAAACAGCAGAACCCAGACTATGGCACTCTATGAGTTCTTTCACATGTAAATTGTGAGCAAGGACAGAATCAGGAGAATCTGCACATTTAAAAGAAAGATATATGGGATTTTAAAAAAATGGGCAGACTAAAACTACCAAGGCAAGAAATGAACACTTGGATAATAGAACCATCAGAAATGTAAGAGGGTAACTTTTATAATTTAAAAAGTCCAGACAAGAGAGTTTAGTGACGGGAGTGGTCAAAATGTCAATGTTACTGAGAATGGCTAAGATGGCTATCTAAAAGATGTCTTGTTCATGTTTGTTTTCTTAGTGTCTAGGAAAATGTGTGGCATATAGTCGGAGCTTAATAAACATAAATTTCAATGATGTGGCCATTCCAATACCTGAGAATCTCACTCCAACACTTATGGAGTTGCAAAAAGAATATACAAGAAATAAGGGAGGGAGGGAGGGAGGAAGAATAGGGAAAAAGAAGGAAAAAAAAACTCACTCCCCAAATGCTCTATGCAGCCCCCATGTCTCTCCATTCCAGCTCACTGGAATTATCCTGTAAAACAAGGCACAATCCAAGTTTTCCCAGACTGCATATGCCTGTAGGATATAGTAACAGTGAAAATTCAATTTCCTGGATCTTGGGCCCATGTGAGAATGCAGGATTCCCAGCTCCTTGAAGGACTCCCTCCCTGCCCTGTCCCCCACCACCGGAAGTGTCTCTAAAACCCAAGGTGTGTCTCACATGTGCTCATGATGGAGCACTGCTATTTTCCCCTATCTCTTACTGTGTGATTCAGCTCCCCATCCTGTCGCTAAAAGGACATCGAGGTCTTGGCTAGTGCGGCTCAGTTGGTAGGAACCTCACGCCATAATCAAAATGTTGCAGGTCTGATTCCAGGTCAGGCCACATGCCTAGGTTGCAGACTGATTCCTGGTCTGGACGTGTACAGGAGACAACCAATGCCAATGCTTCTTTCTCACTTCGATGTTTCTCTCTCTCCCTTCCTATCTCTCTAAAAGCAATGAAAAAAAATGTCCTCAGCTGAGGATAAAAATAAATAACAAATTTTTAAATAAACTAAAATATAAAAAAGGGCACTGAAGTCTTCTGCCAGATGCAGCTTTTTATTTCCCACCTATCACCAGGTGCTGGAGGCCCCAGCAGGTGTCATTCCTCTACCAGCCATGCCACTGAAGTCATCTGTCAAGCATCATGACTAAACAGCCAGAGCCCTCCAAGTGCCAAAATTCCATGGTTATCTGTGGGGAAGTGTGCCCTCTCCTCTTTGTGCTATCATCTGGTAGAGGTACCTAAAGCAGTGTTGCATCTGCTTTTGTTGTCTTATAGACCTGAGTGGAAGAGCTGCTTCCATTTTTTATTCACAGACCTCTTTCTTTCTCTCGGATTCAGGCATAGATTGTTGCTATAACTATCTTTTCATATTTATCCGTTCATTTTATAAACGGGGCTAAGTGTTAAAGAGTGCTTACTTTAAAACTTAAACAGAAATGAACTAGAGAGGACTGAAATGGGTTATAAATTATTTAAGTCAGCCCAGGAGTCATTTCGCATCAGGTTTCATAGGTATATTCTTGACAATCAAAGCAGCCACCATTCTGTTCTTTACTCCATTGCCCCACCATCATGGTAACTCGGCTACTTTCTCTGATAATCTCTGGGCATCTCTCTGCTTCTGTCTCAAATACGAGGCTACAGGTTCTCTTTCCACACCTCCAAGTCGAAGTCCACAGAAAGAAATTGATTGGTTAAGCTAATTACCATTGGTCCTGTATGGACATTCGTGTCAGGACATCTCAAGAGCCACTAATCCATCTTTGAATCAGCAGTGGTCACAAAGTAGTGTCATGTGGTCCCAGAAGGGATCTATGAGAGTGACAGGCACTCTCAGGCATGAATTTCCTCCACGAGGAAATGAGAATTCCTGTACATAGTGAGTCAGAGAAACACTGAATGGTTTCAGTGTTTTAAATGTGTTGGAGCTTTCTCTATGGCTTAGTGGATGTGCGATTTTGGTAAATGTTCCATGTGCATCAAGTTTCCTCTATTTCCAACTAAGGGCTAACCTTTGCTTTGAAATGTCTAAGTTCCCTTCTAACATTGAGTGTGTGATTAGAAGCAAAAGTAAGCAACCGGTGAACAGTTAGCTCAAGTTATTATTTTTCTTCCAGTTAACTTCCTCCTGATTTTTCAAAATTTAACAACTATTGCTTCTAGTTAAAAAAAAGAAAGAAAAAACAAAAACATTTGTATTCCCTTGCGAAGTTCCGTGTTCTTCTCACCAACAAGTGGAGACGCAGGCCGCTGCTGTCCCGCGGGTTCCAGCAGCCCGCTAGCCCTGGCCAGGACCCACCAGCCCTGAAACAGGCTCACAGCCGCCCTAGCAACGGCCGGGGGGCGGGGCCCGCCGCGGCGTGCTGACGTCAGAGAGGGCTGCGACGCCGCCGGTCAGCCGCGGCGCTGACGCCGGTAGTCGCTGTGTGCTTGGAGCGGGGCCTGGGCAGCGGCGGCGTCGTAGGAGCTCCCGCTGCGTCCGCCTGCTCCGGGGCGGGGGCTGCGGCAGCGAAGCCCCCTCCCCGGGGAGGCGGGGCCTGGGGGAGCTCCCCGGTTGGGGAGCCGCGACAGCTTGGGAGGATGCATCAGAAGCTGCTGAAGAGCGCGCATTACATCGAGCTGGGCAGTTACCAGTACTGGCCGGTCCTGGTGCCCCGCGGCATTCGTCTGTACACTTACGAGCAGATCCCCGTGTCCCTCAAGGACAATCCGTACATCACCGACGGCTACCGGGCTTACCTGCCCTCCAGGCTGTGCATCAAAAGGTACAGTCTGGCCGCCTCCGCGGGGCGCGCCCGAGAGACGCGCTGACGGCCTCTCCTCCTCACCTACCCCGTTTTTGTCTGGTCTCTCCGCTGCTTTCCCCGCTGTTTTCCTTGACCATCCTTTTCATCCTTTTCTGCCACCTCTCCTCTCTCGTTATCTTCCCTCCTCCGCCGCCAGAATAATAATGATAACTATTATCTTGGTTACCAACTCTCCTTTGGCGCTTTGCTGTTTACAGAGGGCTTTTACATCTTTTATTCCTTTTGGTGCCTGCTGGGATTTACTTTGGACCCCTCACTGACAGTGCTTGGGCCGCACTTGCCCCTCTGTATACCTAAGCTTTATTTTTAGAGCAACCCTATAGAAATTCGGGCCTTTGGGATCAGATAAATGCCTGTATAATAAGAAACAAATTCACATTGCCATGTATATATGTGTATATTTAGAAACCCCTGACTGATTCATTCGGTAGGTACTATGGAGCTCTTGCTGTGGGTCAGGGACTTTAACCAGGTGGTGCAGAGAACAGCAGACAGGGTTCCTGTTTCATGACGCTACTAAGGCCCAGCCTGAGTGACACACATTAAAAAGATAATTACACTATTACATAATAACCATTGTGAAAAAACGCTGTGTAGGAAAAAAGCACGTTAGCAAAGAGAGCCTATAAAGGACACTGTCCTAGAGCACTATAGAAGCAACTCTGAATTTCTCCATCATCTAAATCTTTGAAACCAAAAGTACCTTGAAAGCCTGGGTTTAAAAAAAAAATGGAAAAGTTAATTCTTAGGAGAGCTAAATTAATTTTTAACAATTTCTGTTAAAATTCACTGTATGTACTTAAATACTTGATCCCACTTCAAGAGAATTAATACAGATGTTGGCTAGCTCCAGGTCTTTGTAGAGACAAACCCCAGTGCTGGAATGTGGGCAGTTGAATAGCTCAGGCAGCAACCACATGTCTGATCCTTGCTCTTTTCAGCATGGTCTTTACCTACTTCCTTTGCCCCATCTTGAAAGTAGTATTTCCAAGACTCACAGTTACAAGGTAACATCACTGTCCATCCCTTCTTGACTTTAATGGGTAGCACACCAGACTTCACAGTTTGAATTCTGAGTGATTTTTTCCTCCCTAATGCCTCCTGTGCATAAGTTACTACACAAGAAATCAGAGCTGGGTCCTGCTGTGTGTGTAAATCTCCACAAGGATGGAGTAGGTGGTGAGTTGCCTTAAATATTTTATACCCACCTAGCAGTGGTCTTCTGCATTCTGATATTAGATTCCAAACATTCTAGATAGAGAAGTGAAATCTAGTGTTTTAGCTCTTAGACTGCTGAGTCAAAGAATACTTGGCTATCCAGATCTGCCACTTAACAGCTGTGGGACCTTGAACAAAAATTAACCTCTCTGATCCTTATTTTCTCTATTTGCAAAAGTGAGGATGATCACAATAGCTACTTCAGTAAGTACAATAATATGGGTTAAATGAGATTATATATGTAAAACCCTACACAGGCCTCAGAGACACACAACAGATCATACTTTATCATCATGATTGTTGAGTTCAAAGATGAACAGATGATGATGGAGATGATTATTGATTTTGAAGCTGAACAGAATCTGTGCCTAGTTACTCATAGAATAAGAGTATGTCCTCTACTGGGGATATTCTTCTAAGTGCTCTTCCCTCCAGCTTGGTCTTCCAAGTTTCAGCTGTCACCTTCTCTTTTAGCTCTCAGGCATGACCAGGACAGATTTTAGAAATGAGAAGTATTGTGTCACAACTGTTCTGCCAATACTCTGTTACTTGGAAGGAACATGCCAAGCTTGTGTCTCTCAGTTCAGTTAATCAGGTTACACTGAGTTTCACAAAATGAGAAGTTCTAAAGCAATCGGCAGAGTATAGTATTAATTGTCAACACAGACCTGTAGTTACATGTATTCTCTCACATTCCTGCATCCTATCCCTCCCCAACACACACAATATAAGTAGTCTTTATACCTGATGCTTGTAAAGAATAAAGCCTGAAATTCATGACACAAGATTCACTTTATTCTTGGTGGTGGTTTGGTCGTATGAGACCCTGCTGGTTTTGATGTGGGAAAATGAGAGCCATGGTGACCGCTGCCCATTCACAGTAGGTGAGGGGTATGTGTTAACGCTTACTGATAAGGATTCAGAATCAGTGAAAGTCGAAGACCGTAGTTTAGAAAGATTATATTTTGCAAGAAAATGCAAGCAAGAGTATTTTAATTTTTTGTCATGATATCACCTTTCAATAAATAATCAGATGAGTTCTATCCCCAGCAGAAGAAACATTTCACAGAATTAAGGAAGGAGCTGGGAGGGACTTGCAGCATCTAATCCAGCTTCCTTGTTTTATAGACGAAGAACCTGAAGCCACAGAGGTTCAGTGACTTGCTCATGACCACAGAGCTAATTTGTTACCGAGGAGGTGAAGGGACTGCAGGGCTCGACCTGTGGTCGGGCTGGTACACCAGCCACCAGTGCTGCCAGAACTACTTAAACTTAAACCAGTTGGTCAGCATTTTGAAAGACAGCAAATAGTACCGATATTAAAAGTAACCAACCTATTGTTCCTAAAATGAACATGCCACCTGGAAAATGGTATGGTTTCAAAACAATCATAGCTGAGTTGTTCAGCATTCCTGTCTTAAAGGTATTTCCAGTGAATCAGTTTGTCTTCATTCTCCTTCTCTCAAGTCCAGTTAATTTTGTATTTGCATTTAGTGAATACGAAAAAGGTATTTTAAGTTTGTGCCTAACACTTAGAAGGTTTTCAGAGATTTATTATTGAACATCAAAGTATGCTAGCTAATACCAGTTTTAATCTGCACACTTATTTCTGCAGACATTTAGGATTGAATTTAAACAAGGCACTGTGCTTGAAACAGTGGTATCACAAAGACGGGTGGTGCCAGTCATCAGGGAGTTAATAGACTGGCAGTGACATGGAATTTATCCATGAATAACTATTATGTGAGGAAGAAAATGGTCAATATGGTAATACAGGTGAGCACCAAAAAAACCTCTAAGATCCTAAGATTGGTTGTGAAGAAACTTGGAGAGAGAGTAATCAGACTAAATGGTGTATCAGATTTAGAAAGGCTCTTGCGGTTAAGGGCTTAAAGTAACAAGTGTTGGGTAACCCAGAAAAATTGGCCCTACCCTTTTAAATGCTGACAGTGAGTGAGCCACTTTGATTCTGAACTGCATGGTTTTTTCTGTTTGTTTGTTTTCCAGTTTGTTCATTTTATCTAATGAGACAGTCAACATCTGGAGTCACCTGCTGGGTTTCTTTCTCTTCTTCACACTGGGAATATATGACATGACATCTGTGTTACCTTCGGCAAGTGCCTCCAGAGAAGATTTTGTAATTTGTTCTATTTGTCTTTTCTGCTTCCAGGTAAGTCATTTCACAAACACTCTTACTGGTAAAGAGACTTTGAGTCAGAGAAGCTTGGGCAGGTGACCTTACTTCATACCCACCACTTGCTTTAAAAGCCCCAAAATAGCATATAGGTTAGCTTACTCGCTATTATAGTATAAACACAAAAAGTATGTTTTATGAAAGTGTGTTTGGATGTTATTATTGGAGCATATTTGAAATCTAGTAAGTTTTAAAGATTGAGAACATTTCTTTGTTTCCTTTTCTCCTTCCCTTTTTAGACATCTCTCCTTTAAGATTAATACAAGCGTAGGAATCTGTGATTGTACTATGTTTTCACTGAAGTAGGATACTAGTGTCTGCTTAAAACTTGTTGAGGATTTCTCATCTTTTTCCTATTTGTATGTGTGATTTTTGTATTTGCTGTTTCCATACCATCGTAGCTGTAATGTCTTGTTTTGCTGGTATTGACCTTTTCTGTTCCTTTAACGTTAATTTCCTTTGGTCCTTTTACATTTGCCTGATTTCAAACCCTACTTCACTTTCTCCTCCTACCTCTTATATTTGTTAGTTCTTTAGCATTTTTCTTCAAAAGTCTATAATAGTATTAAATACAGCCTTTAGAAGTTGTATTAATAGTTTTCAAACTGATAATTCTAAAAAAGAAAACATGTGGACCAAAATCCTGTTGATATTATGTTTTAAAAAACTTCACAAAGTACAGAAAATCATAAAAATGAAAAGAAAATGGTGTCATCCCACATCCTCCAAACATAGGCCAGCACCCCCTGCAGTTAACCTGTTACTACTCAATTTGCAAGGTGAATCTGTAAGCAGGCTGCACAGATGTTGCTTTTGTTACGTGTGATTTAATTTCAGACCTTCACCTTTTGACTCAAATTAAAACTTTGGAATTAAATGATTAAGAAACATATCAGAAATATCCCCCCCCCCCCGCCAACACTTTTTATTTTAGAATTCTAGTTTTTAGAATATTTTAAAGTCCTTTGAAAGAATACTGTGTATTTTTACATTATTATTAGAAAACTAACTTTTAAGTATTTTTTAAGGTATTCTTTCTCATGTTTAATTCTTGTCCTGATTGAAACCTAAATATCTCTTAGAATCCATCACTAGTTTTAAAATGAATCAATTACTTCATAGTTAAAATTTTAGATATACCTTAACACAGACCGAGGTGCTCTCAATAATCATTAATGAGCAACACTAGTTTTTACTCTCCTCTTAGTTATGTGGATATTACCTGCTTTGAGAATCTCACATGTTTTCTACCCCTAGGGCCTGCCCTTTATCCCTTTACTGCCTAGCCTCAGCTGATGTTAGTTTGGAGAATACATACTAATTTTCATATGTTGTCTAAATAAACAAGGCATTACAAAATTATAAAGATGAAATGATTACAAAACTGTCAATAAAGAAGCACCTGAAGTATTACAGTGATCTGCCTAAGATTATTCAACAGCATAATAAAATCCTGGTCTCCTAACTGGCAGTACAATGATCTTTTTGTTACTATAAAACTTGCTAAAGATAAGTAAGTACATCTTCCCACTTGAAAATATCATTTCTGTTATTTTTATGAAATTATACATATCACTTGTTCACCCAGGTCTCCCAAATTCTTTGAATCAGCACGTAGCATGGTAAACCATAATGTGTGTTAATATTGATTTACATTTAATTTTTAAAACATATTTTTTTCTCTTTTCACTTATACTCGTTTTATACACTCAGTGCTTTCCCCCGAACCAAATTAATAGGGTGCATTCTGAATAATAGAATGTGATTTCAGGGGCTCTGAACTTTCTCAGAGGTCTTTCTGTCTTATAGTAGCATCTGAGAGCGTCTTTACTTGGATCCAGTTCATTTACATTCAGTTCCACAAACATTTTTAAATGCCTCCTATCTAAATCCAGGCACTAAGCTAGGCATCAGGAATACCACACTGAACAAAACCAACCTGGCATAAAGATCAGGTCGCTCAGGGAGGAGGGCAGAAGGAAGAGTGAGGCAGGGCATTTAAGTAGAAAAAACAGTTTTTATAAAGGCCCAGAAGCAAGAGACAGCTTAGCACTTTCTGGACTTACAGTCATTGGACTTTGTAGTCAGATCCTGGGGGAGAGAATTGAGAAGGGTGAGGTTGGAGAGGTAGGCAGGAGCCAGAGATACCTGGCTATTGTGCCAAGGAGTTCAGATGTAGGATGTCCCACTATCTGTCTACCCTGATGGAGTGAGACATTTTACAGAAGAAAACAAACATACTCAATGTGCCAGATCACTTTTCAGTCAGTTTTTTAAAGGAAACTAACAATAACACATCCCTTTAAAAGAGGACATACTGTATTTTTCCATGTATAATACGCACTTTTTCACCCAAATTTTTTAGGGGAAAGTAAGGTTGTGCATTATACATGGGTATAATAATTCCCTGTATAATGTGCATAAAACTGTGGGTGCGTATTATACAAGGCAAAATACAGCACTAAGTGTAGGTTAACCTAAAACTAAAAATTCAGTGTTCTCTATTAATGCTATGTATGATACTTTCTCTTCAATACTGTAGTGCTTCCTCTTTTATTGTCCACAAAGAAATTAGCTTTATCGTTGTTTTTTATTACCACTATAAGGTATACCCATGAAAAACATCAAGCAAACAAAAATGTATATGGAAAAAAGTGAAAGTCACTTGAAATTCCACTTCCCAGAGGTAACCACATTTGAAATTTGGGTTAAAAGTCCTCCGGACATTCTGTGTGCACAGCCTGCCGCCTGCCCGCCCGCCCACCTGTGTACCCGTGTCCAGGCTGTGCTCATCTCTGCGTGCCATGTTGTCAGTAAACATTGTGACAATGAGGTCTTTCCCTTTCAGTGAGAATATACTTCGATACTTTTCTGGATTGACTGTGTTTAATCTCAAGGATAATCTGACAAAACAAATAACCAGGCTTCTAGAATTATGTTTAGTTGGGCCAGTAAACTGACTTGTAACTTAGCCAAAGCCATAGATGAATAAGGATTTTAGACTGGATGAAGGACCGAGACTGTGGCAAGGTGCATTGTTTTGAATATTGATATTAATGCTATGGGGCCAAGTAGGTTTAATGACCCAATTATGGAGCAGCTAGATGACCATTTATGTGCCTCAGCAGTTACTTACAAATATTTATCAGTTTGACCTACTTCATACTGTTTATCTGCCCTGTCGTCTCCACCCCCACTGTCACTGGCCTAGCGTGGGCTCCGGTCAGTGCGCCCCAAGGCTCCCTCTGTAGCCTCGTCTCTCAGCCTCTCTGTAAGGGGCACTTACCATCTTCAGTAGTATCATGACTAGCCCGTAATATTGAAGTTGAAACCTCTTGATGTTTGTAACTTTTCATCATTGTGTCATGGAGAAGGCCACATGACACTGCTTAATGGTTCTGTTTCTCAACACGTTGCTTTCCTGTGAACCTCCCAGTGACCACGTGCACATCCTTGTTTATGTCCTTGAGGAATGTCAGATCAGCTTTTTACCATTTAGGTCAGGTGTGTCCACCCACCGCTCCCACCTCCCAGATTCACACACCCATAGAGCCAGTGCCCTCCCCCGTTTCCTCGTTGTGCTCTGCACTGACTTTTCCTATAGGACTCCTTACGTCACTTGTTCACTTGTTTCAGGGAAAACTGTCTGAGAGTAAAGGTTTCATCCTTGTATTCCCAGTGCGTGACACACAGCAGGGATTTAATGTCTGGAGGGAGTTCGGCCATAGAAATCTTAGCCGTTTTCAGAGCAGCCCATTGAATCAGATTAGTTTGCTCTCAGTTTGACAATTATATAAACAAAAGTCATAATTACTTTTTCTTGGATACAACAAAGTAAACTACACAATGAAATCTCATACAGACATGAAAAATCTTAAATGACAAAAGCAGACTTCAGAACAGAATGTTTAAAGTGATTCCATTTGATTAATCTCAGAACAGTGTATTGGTATTGTTTGTGCGGGTACATTTATATATTATACGTCTTGATATACTCATTGAAAATACCTGAAAGGACGTAACTGTTATGAGTGGCTACCTTTGGGGAATAGATTTGAACAGGAGGGGTTTACTTTTTAACCTCATACAATTCTGTTCTTTGACCTCTTTTAAGGACATATGTTACTTATATAATAAATCCTTTTTTGCAAAGAAAACTCATTCATGGATCAAAATAAACCTCAGTGAATATTTTTAAAACACATTGCATAATTTTTCTACTATTGTGCCATTTATTTTAAATTTTTATATTATAAGATAGCTATCACTTAAATCTTTTTCTTCATGTGATTGCTATCCCCGTGTCACCCACGAGGGAACGGAGGCCTAGAGAGGTGGCGTGGCTGCCCGGCTCGAGGCCCGGGGCTGAGCGCCGAGCCCAGGTGTGTCTGACTGGAGAGCCTGGGCCGGCCTAACCACTTCCTGAACATTGCACATGAGTTCGTTTAATGTCTTTGTGTTTCACTTTAACTTTTTGTTTCACTTTCAGTTATTTTTGTTTTGTTTGCCATAGGTCTGTATGCTTTGCTCTGTGGGCTATCATCTTTTTTCCTGCCATCGATCAGAAAAAACCTGTCGAAGATGGATGGCATTAGATTACGCAGGAATTTCTATTGGAATACTGGGCTGCTATGTCTCTGGAGTATTTTATGCATTTTATTGTAATAATGTAAGTAATTTAAAACATTTTTCATTCTACCTTTCATATAGGTCCGGGTCTTCTCACCATTGTTCCTTTGAAATTCTGAATAAGCACATAATTAACTTACAGAAGAATAAGAAGTTTTTTGTGTAGACTTTGTTGCTACACAATCATAGAAAACTGTCAACATAGCAGCAGTATAAAAAAAACTAGCACATAAATTTGGTTTGAATGGAAGAGCTTGTGTTATAGCCACTTACAAGGAAGCCATTTGCTCTTTAGGCCTAATTAGTTTGGAACCTAAGTATATAATTAAATATATATATGCAATTAACTTATTATAAATTGATTTTACTTTAGTAGTAGAATTTATGTCCTGCTCAGCCTTCAAACCTGTTAGTTTTGCATGAAACTGTTTGTTTTTAAAAAATTTAGAGGGACTATGCCAACTAGGGGTGTAGTGAGTACAGTCATGTAGTATTTGAATTGTTTCTGCTTGTCTTATTCTGCATTTCTCTGAAGCTTGTTTTCTGCTTATGTCTTTAGAAACATACCACATAATCAAAGAGATCAGGTACTTTTTGTAAATCTCTTCAGAAAAACTAGAAGTCAGGATAGATTAAAGAGAAAATAGAACTGTACAAGGTGATACAGTCCATGATCATTTACAGGGAAAATGTTCTTCCCTCTGGTATGTAATCTTTTCCAAATATTCACTTGTTATAGTGGCTCTTTACCTTTTAGGGAATATAGGCTGCTTTGAGAATGAGATTGCACACTATAGACCCATCAAGGCATATGTACATCTGGGTACAAAGTAACCAAACAATTTCACATGTGATTTCAGGAAGCTAATAGCCCCACAGAAGTCCCTGGAGTCCAGGTTAAGAACTCCATCCATGAGATGCTAACTTCTGTGCTTCAAAACCAGGTTTCAACTGCTCATTTAGAGACCTAAATGCTCTAATAGCTCTTCAAACCTAACATACTTTTAAATAAACATTCTTTCATGCCCCCTATTTTTTCCTCCAACACACATCCACACATCCCACATTTAGATCGTTTTGTTCATTTTCTGCATAAATAGAAGGTATGTGTGTAGCCTATCATACTAGAAACAGTCAAGCCATCCTCTGCTGCTCTGTGACACATCCAGTCAGCCAATAAGACTTTGTTTCAAAAATGCCTCCCAAATGTGGTGCCCACATTTGGGAGATGTGATATGGATCCATCTTCCTTGTTCAACAAGAACCCAAGCTCCTATTCACTCGTCGAGTCAGTTATCCTTATATCTTATAGCTGACTTCCTGTCAGTCTCATTCTTTTCTACATTGATGTCAGAGTTCTCTTTCTAATAAGTCGATTTGAAAACAGCCAGGTCACCCCATTTGTAAAGAACTCTATTCCCCCGGTGCCAATGTGGTCAAGTTCCAAATACTTAGCCTGCCGGGACACCTGCCTTTTGGCCTCCCTTCTCAAATTCCCCTGCCGCATGTGGCTGCGTGTGCTGGCTATGTTGTTTTTCCCTCGAGAGCTTCCTCCTCCCACAAAATCTCATATATTCTTCAAGACCCAGCTTAAATGTCATCTCCGTTGCGAGACATTTTTTAGCTACTCTAGGTAACACTGATTGCTCCCTCTTCTGTGGTTCTGCACCATTCTGTTGATACTGCAGTTATGTACTCAGACTATAATCCCATGTTTCCATGTTTGCCCCTCCCATAGCCTGTGAGTGCACCCACTGAGCAAGCCCATGTCGTAGTCATCTTTGTTTCTGCGGGACATAAATTGTCCCTAGCATATCATAGGTCCTCAGATCATGTTTCACATGATAAATGTGATCTCTTAACCAGCTCACTTTGAAATTTGTATGTCATCCTGAGAAACCTAAAACAGTTGTGTAGAACATGCATGTTTTTAAGAAAGGAAGGTAATCATGTTCAGATATGAAAATGCCAAGTAAATAGTTTGGAATGTGTAATGTGGAAGCCAAAATCACTTTTTCCTTCCCTTATTAACAACAACTAAAACTCGATTGCCTTCTGTTGCAGTACTGGCGTCAGGTGTACTTGGTCACGGTGCTGGCCATGATCCTGGCCGTGTTCTTCGCGCAGATCCATCCCAATTACCTCACCCAGCAGTGGCAGAGGCTCCGTTCCATCATCTTCTGTTCTGTTTCGGGATATGGAGTGATTCCTACTCTTCACTGGGTTTGGCTCAATGGAGGGCTGGGTGCTCCTATTGTACAGGTAGGTTCAATGCAGTCCATGTTTTTCCCATGTTTTTGCGTCCTTTCAATTTTATTCCTTTAGGGTAAAGTAGTATTAGGCCAAGCGGATGGGTCTTTGTCATTTGAGAGCATGTCTATAATGATATGTTGATGCCATAATTTTTATGCCTATACAGATAAGCATACCTTGCAGGAACCAAAATAAAGTCTACCTACCATTTTTTTCTGAGGTGGCTTTCTGTGAAGTAATACATTCTTAATTCTCTTTCTCTTACCCCAAGCATGTAAGTGCCTGAGTCCTTACCTGTAGAGGATGACTTGCACTTTTCTAGCTTTGTCAGCTGAGGCGAGGATACCACCAGTGGTAATTAACTCCAGTACAGAAGTAGGAGCAGTCATTGTTTTGTGTGTGTGTGTGTGTGTGTGTGTAGAGGAGGAAGAGTTGGGAACGATTTTTCTCTTGGACCTGTTGAGTTTGAGGTACCTGTGGGATATATAAGTAGAGACAGTTTATAAAATTTAGGTTAGAGTTTGAGACGAGTCATTAAGACTTGAAAATCATTACTGTATTGGTAGCTGTAGCATGGAAGCATATTTGACCCAGCAAAGAGAATATATTGAGAAATAGGAGCTATTAGAGTTAGAGATGATGGGGACATAGTTGAAATTCACTAGAAAGAATCTCAGTGATAACTGCTGAATATTCTTGAAAATAAGATTAGAAATCCAATATTTTTTAGAGATCCATAAAGAAATGATTTAAGTATGCACTAGAGAGTAAAGTTGAGAATTTTTAACATAAGTAAACATGCCCCAAAATCTAGCAGAAATCACACTTTCTGCAGTAGGAACTTCCCCGGGAATATGGGAGTTTAAATAACATGTATTAAAAAGAATCAGATTTTTTTTTAGATGTGGTAGGCTTACATATACTTACATGAAGTTGGCAACAGCATGATGGAAAACATTTGGATATAGAACTAAAAAGAGAAAGTTCTGTGATGTAGTGAATTGAGAGATATAATCTGTCCACTTTGCCAACTTGAGGACAAGTGTGATGCTTTCTTCCTAAGACTAGGAAATAGGAAGAGCCCTGGCTGGTGTGGCTTGGTTGTTTGGAGCATCATCCTATAGACCAAAAGGTCATGAGTTCGATTCCCAGTCAGGGCACATACCTATGTTGTGGGTTCAGTCCCTAATCAGAGCTCATAGGGGAGGCAGCCACTCAGTGTTTCTCACATTGATGTTTCTCTCTCTGTCTCTCTCTCCCTCCTCCTTCCTTTTCTCTAAAATCAATAAGCATGTCCTCAGGTAAGGATTTAAAAAAAAAAAAACAGAAAGATGAGACGATAGTGATGAGGAACTTAAGTGATCCTGCTATTCATGAAAACATTATTTTCTGACAATGTGATTTCCTGAAAATAAGTAAAGAAAATGGAATAGGGAGCTGCCACTCGAGTTTAATTCTAACCAGAAATTAATAACTGTTGACATAGAAGTGACCAAAATTTCGGGATTAAGTGACACATTCCTTTTAAGTTTATAATAACAAAAAAAAAACTAGACCCATTAAGGCAGTGTACATTAGAGAGCTCAGAAAAAATGGGAACTCTCCCATGTGCAGAAATCTTAAAGCAGAAATATGGCATAGGAAGGTAGTGGTTCTCAGAGATGGAACCCCAACAAGCTCACAGATCATTCCAGGGGAGAAGCGAAGGGACACTTCCAGAGAAATTTCAAAGGATTTTAAAAGGTGGAAATAAATGCACTTAACCAAAGAAAAGTTCCAGAAGGGCTAATTCTTAGAGGTAGGTTGGAGTTGTGTTCTAGAATGTTTGAGAAATCTAGGTTGGTTATTCTAAGAATCTGGAATGTAGAGAGGGCCATGATAATTCTCGGGTATTTGAAGAGGGAAGAAAAGTAACTTGTCTTTATTTCTTAAGTGACTTATTGGTAAATTGGTTTATATCCAGAATTAGGAACAATACATACAAATTATAGGTGGCTAATTTTCTTAGGGCAAGGAAAAGCTTTCCAGTAGAGCTGTGAGATGGACTGGTTCACAGTAGTATTCAACAAGACCACTTTCCTGGGAGGGTGGCACAGATTTCATTATTGGGCCGTACTTCGGGCCTTTCTAGCTACCAGTCCCTGGTCTTCAGGCTCTTTGCTTATTCGTCTGGTAACTCCATCCTCTAAGTGCTTCGTCCATATACCTATATTGTAGATGGAGCTGTAGATTGTAGCATCTTCTGCCTTGTTAAGGCTCTGTCTCCTTTAGTATGCTAATCTTTGGGGCATGCTCTGTGTTCCACTCTTGTGCAGGATTAGGAATGAGATTTCTATTATTGGAGACTATCTGCAAAAGCAATTCAGATTTAACAGACTTAATTGCAGTCTACCTATGAGTTCCATCTGTAAATCGGATTCACAGTAAATTGGAATTTCAGTCCCAGTAGGAAGATCTGTGAACAGCATGCTTTTGCTTTTCAGGACTTTGCACCCCGTGTGGTTGTGATGTACGTGATCGCTCTTCTGGCTTTCCTGTTCTACGTTTCCAAAGTTCCAGAGCGCTACTTTCCAGGTAGGTACTGCTTTCACGCTGATTTCATAATTTTATTCTAACTACATGGTTGATGTATAGACTTAGATTTGGTTTTTTTTCCCAACATTATTGATTATGGAAGAGCTCTCCTATTCTCAGATGTTACCTAAACTTTTAACTTTCAAAGGTTTCACCAATTTTTCCTTGCATCCTTACAGTGTGAATTGGGTCCAGTAGGTGTGGTTACCATTTCACAATTGCGAACTAGTGACAAGTCTTCTGACTCCCAGCCACTGTTTTTTGTGGAGCACTAATCATCAATTACCATTTATTTCTTTATATACCAACGTAGTCTTAAAAATTAATTTGTAGATGCAGAGACATGTAAAATTACAAATAAGAAGAGAATAATGAATAGAAGCCAGGGTTGGGATCACTTCACAATCTGTCCATAATGAGGTTCTATAAAACAGGTAAAGGCTACTTGGGTTCAGATCCCACATGGACACTCAGTAGCTGCATAAACTAAACACGTTACTTAGGCTTTCTTGCTTGTTTCCTCATCTGATACCTGGAGATTATACTTTCTTTCATGGGGTTATTGTGAGGATTAGATTTAGCACATTTCCTCACAAGTAGTAAGCACTCAGCCCTGGCTGGCGTAGCTCAGTGGATTGAGTGCAGGCTGTGAACCAAAGTATCGCAGGTTCTATTCCCAGTCAGGGCACATGCCTGGGTTGCAGGCCATGGCCCCCAGCAACCGCACATTGATGTTTCTCTCGTTCTCTCTTTCTCCCTTCCTTCCCTCTCTAAAAATAAATAAAATCTTTTTAAAAAAGTAATAAGCACTCAGTAAATGTTAGCAATTATTGTAATGATGTCCCTCAACCTCAGTCCCATAAATGAAATCTGTGCTTTAATAAGATGCGGGGTGATGTAAGTCCAGGTGACCTTTGGCTGAGTCAAGAATGACAGAGCACTTCAAAGCAGTGAGTTGTCAGTGTGGGGCCGCAAGTAGGGGAGCAGTTTAATTCAAACTGCAGACTGCAGCTCTTCTCCCTGGGTTGAGAATCACTTCCGCAGTGAACTGAAGACAGGACTGTGCTGCTCCTCACATGTGTAGGGGAAAAAGAAAAGACGAGAAACCCTGATCTGGAGAATGAATAGACAGGAGAGCCTCAGGCATTCCTCTGTGCACTCGGTTTTTACCACTGAGTTTCCATAAGAGTGGAATACAGAGAACCTGGGTGTTGTAAACAGGAGGATTTGGGAACATAATTAGGACATATCCCTGATTTGAAGGCCACCCATACTCCCCAAGACAGGGCTGGAATTTCCCTTAGCAGACAGTTCTGGTAAAACATTTTTGTACCGCGTTATAATAATTCTTTTAAAAAATTGTTTCTTCATCACAGACATGTAGAAAATTAAACCATGAAAGTTCTCTAGCATTTTTAGGCCTTAAAATACTCAGGAGTTCCCAGTTGTCTAATATAGGCACTTATAAAAGGTCAAATGCTATGTTACTTAACATTTCTGCAAGATCAACTTGATATAAAATGTGCCCGAGGTACCTTTGAGCAGTGCAGGTAGGGAGACCATGATAAAAGTGATCATCCCAGATGTTCATAAATAAACAGCTTCGAAACCTTGTCCAACTGGTCCTCATTTATGACCTGACTAAAGAGAAGCGTGTGCATTGGTGGTGAAATGGTGCATGAATACCGTAAAATCCAAAAACTTAAACCTAAGAACTTACTTTTCAGCTCAGGTTAAAATTTTAACACTACATAAACATCACAACGGCATCGGTGACTCCGGGCATCTCCCAGGTGTCCATGGACAGAATTTAATAGATCTGTGGAGCTTGTGTTACAGTATAGTCAGTTCTCTTTTTAATCCTCTGTATTCTAGTTTCTTTTTTTAAATGAACCTGTGGGCTTGATTAGACTGTCAAAGAGGTCCATGACACAAAAAAAGGGCTAAGACCCTTACCAAGAGAATTCTGTTGACTTATACTTTAAAATCTACATAGTATATTGGTTTACATTACATTACCATAGGAACACCTATGGTAAGAAAGTTATTTCCACTTAAATTTCTATGGTTCTGTATTTTTTGAAGAAGCATCCTGCATGTTTATTTAATCTCCTTGGGATTTAACCTTTAATCACAAAGAGAAACAATTCTCCTAAATTGTATGTGAACTAACCAACCTTAAATAACCTATCACTAATTACATTTTGCAGATTATTTCATCAGTCTGATAACTCAAAGTTCAGATTTGAGTGTTCTCTTTACACACCTGCTTGAAATAAACAGTGCTCATAGCAGACTTACAGCCAAACACAAAAATGTGTGTGCTTCATATCAACTCCTCGGTGCATAGCATGGATTTCCTCTGCTTCTCACATGGAATGTCCTTTATTCCACAGATATAAATTGAGACATGGGAGGTTAAAAGTCAAATTCCTGAAATTAACCAAGTTAGATTTTTTTAGAACACATTTGGAATAGTATTTCTAAAATTCACCAGTGTACCTTATGAATAAAACCTTAAAATTAGACTCAAAAATGAATTTATCCTTTCTTAAAAAACATTTGGCTCTGAATTAATCTACAGCCAGCTTCCATGTGCTCCGAGACTACCAAAATCTTTCTGTTGCTGAGCTGTACTTCCAAGGCCAAAAATAAAAATTTATTTCAATTCTAATGTCAAAATATTACAATCAACATTCTTTCCCTCGACCTTCCTTTCCAGGACAACTCAACTACCTCGGTTCAAGCCACCAAATATGGCACATCCTGGCAGTGGTGATGTTGTACTGGTGGCATCAGTCCACAGTGTATGTCATGCAGTACAGACACAGCAAGCCTTGTCCAGACTATGTTTCTCCCTTGTGAATTCAGGTATGGCCACCTGGTGTGTTCAGTTGTTAAGCAATATGTAACGGGGAGTTGTATACCCCAATATTTCTAAGAGCCCCTTAGTTTTTCCTTTTTCCTGTTTAATATCTCATGAGTGATGCTTTATAAAACTGGAAAAGTACACTTCTGGATCTGTAATAGTAACTGCTTTATAGGCCCTTAAAACTACTAATTTGCCGCTTCTCCAGAAAGTAAAAATTAGTTGGCATTCAAAAGAAACATCTGAATACCAGTGAATGTGAAACTAGTGTAGAAATAGTAATCATTTCACTTAACACCAGCTTAATTTCCTTAGGAAGGGCTCACCTCCATTATAAAATGGAGTCATCCTATGTGATTCCTTTAACTGAAAGTATTTTAGTAGATGATCAAGTTCAAGTGCCTAATCAAGGCAAGGGTTGCAATAGCCTATGCTTAACACGAGCTAGGATAGTGATTTCAGATCATCACTAGCTTTTAACTACATGATTTGTGAGAAACTGGCACATAAGATACTTTCTTTAGTTGTGGGTTCTCTTCTCCCTAGGAACGTGGATTTTTTAGTTTGCTAGAACAAAAACTGTAAACCTCTTCTTTAAGTTGAAAGAGGTGTTGAGTTGAGGAAAGAACTTGCATTACCATTTCCCATCAGATAAGAATTCATTAAAAACTGAGTACGTGATCAGGTGACAAATTCTATAGTCTGATAACAAGTAATTAGCCATTTAAGCTTTTCAATTTCAAATAATATTCTTTAGTCCATGTAATAATTGAACTCTTGTCAGCAGATTGCAGATTTACGGTTCCACACCCCTGCTGCAGCAGAGCTCGCCCCTCTCTGAATTTGCAGTCCTGACTGCCCTGATGGTGGGGTTCCCGGCTATATGGGTGCTACTTCCAAGGCCAGAGTCCAGATGGCCCAGTCTTGACCCTGCAATGAACCTTAAGCCTTAGAACAAAGTCATGCAGATGCCCCATTCGATGGTGTATTATTCACCTGTGCTCTGAGACATTAAATTGGCATTTTATCGTATATACTTAAAAAACAGGTCTCAATGCCCTATCTTAAAACATAACACTCTTGTTCTTTGGTCTTTTTCATATGCCTAAATTAAATCCCTTAAAGCAGTCACTTATAAAAACATGTTGTTTATTGGAATAGAAAATACTACCCAAGTTTCTTAATGGGTTAACATGAGCTGCTTTAAATATTGGTGTATCTTGAGGACCTTGGAATTACTAAATATCGGAAGTGTTGACTGACCATGAACGCTTATTCCCAAAATGCCATTTGTACATATGATACTAGGAATGTTAACTTTAATGTGCCTCAGTTTATGCATCTATAAAATTTTGTATATTTTTCAGTGTAGCGTTTTTGGGAATATAAACCCCCCCCATGCACGAGCATGGTACCTCAGCAAGGAAAGTTTTCCCCACTAGGCCAGGGACACGCCGTTCTCATGATGGAACACTGCTGTGGAGATAGCTGCTTTATCTCCTAGGGCCTGGTTTGATTCGGGGGCTGAATAGAAGATTTTGATGTAACGATGATATATTTTCCTTGTAACATCCCTTACTGGGTACATGATATTATTTCTTTAAAAGACACTTTGTCATTTTGGCCAAACAATGACTCTTTACAATTAATTTAAAAATGAAGGAAGGCGAAGTCTAGTTATGTTAGGTCTGACACCATTTTTGTTATAAAAATCTTCTCAAAAACATATTGAACATTAAGGTTTATTTTAATTTTTAAAAATATTCCTTTTTTGGGTCAGTGTATGAGTTATTTAGTACTTGTCATCTGAATAGATAAAAAGCATAATGTGTTTAAGACTGTTTTTTGAATTGAAAAGGTCAGGAGAATTAGACCATGTAAACATTTCATTTTCTCATGAAAGTGTCAAATATTGTTAAGAGAGCTATCTTTTCTCATTCTTATCTTTACTATGATGTATTTATTATAATGTAGGGAATGAATGAATGTGGATTGCTGTCCACTATAAACACTTCTGTATATCAGCATTTATTGACCACGTACTGTGTGCACATCACTACTGGCAAAATTTTTAAGACATTGTTAACATTAAAGAATAACTATTTAAAAATTGCCTACAAATCTGAGCCAGTAATAATGTATATTTAAGTTATTTTTGTTTTACTAATTAAAATTGGATTAAAAGTACACTATTCAGCTACACTGCTAAAAAGATTGGTTTTAATTTTACCAATATGTAAACTATAGAAGCTCTTTACTGAAGGACTTTACATTTTAAAATTATCCATCGCTGTTTTAAATTGTCTGTAGTGATTTATAAGGTTGTAGTTAACTCATTTAAGAGACAATTATCTTTCTATATAAAGGCATTTTTAAATAGCAAAATAGTGCTTGTCTTCTTTGTCATTCAACTGAGTGCAATTCACAAGCTGCATGGCAAAATGTTATTATGTAAATAAACTGGTTTACTAAATATATAAAGTGCCACTTGTCATTCTTTATAATACATAACAGCTTCAAAATCGTATTTTAGAACCAGGAATGAAGATTCAGGGACTACATGTCACACCTTACGCCATCCCACCTGGACAAAGTAACCCATTTGAAGACTGATTGACTGGCATAAGGCTGTACAACTCTCCATTTGGCAGGTACCTACCGAGAGATATCCTTTGCCCTATATTAAATGTCAAGGGGCAAAGCCTGCACTTCCGGATTTCTGCCAGCTGCTGAGCTGAGTAGGTCCATGTCCACCCAAAATCATCGTTCCAGGTACTTCCCCTCCTGCCACAGTATGTGAAGAGTCAGCTCAGCTGTTAGAGGAGGGGCAGAAGTGTCTTCTACATGCATTAGCACAAATGTGCTTATATTGAAAAGAGGCACAGAAGCAATTCAAATTCTGTACCCTACTTTCTGAGTAGAGTAGGGAGATAAGGATCCAAAACTTAAATGTCCTTTTAGAGAATGTTCTCCGAAGGGAAAAGGAGTAGCAGTAGGGGTCTCTTGTGAAATGTAAAACTTTCATCTTTAGAGGGCAGGACTGATAGCCACCAAGGACGTAGTCCTGCTCTGTAAATCTGGGATCAGAAACACTACAGAACACAGTAACTGCCACATCACTGAGCATCTGAAACAAAAGTGAACTATCTAAATGTGCAACAAATAACACTCAAAAACTCATGCCTCCGATATGAGAATATTAGCTGTATCTTACATAGGAGGCTGCAGCTGGACTTCCTTTAAGGGATTAGCTATTCAACATAAATAGCTGCAGTCGAAGCATGTGTGTGTGTGTGTCTAAAGAAGTTAACTGGAACTGAATTTGAATGGTGGTCTGCTCCACATGGTTTTTTTAATATAACTTCTGATTTGTGATATTTTGTTCCTTTGTACCACTTGTTAAAAAGACATTAAACCCTTATTTTCCCACATAACTTTAGATAAATGTTACTACTTCAACAAAAAAGTTCGTAACAAACAAGATGAATCTTTCCACAAGCCACCAATCTAAAGACACCAGTTTGTGGAATAATACATAACATTAAAGGTATTGTGACTTTGACCCCCAACCTGGTCCAGCAATCCAATAAACAGGTTTTCTCTTTATCTTGCAAAAGCATCTTTTTGACATAATCAAGGTTTACAATATTTTATTTAACCAGATTTTAAGTTTTTAAAGAGTTTAAAAATTTATACATAATGCAAAAACTATGCCAAACACTCAAAACTTCCTTCAGAGTCTTATGTTTTTGCTTTACCTTTATCGTAAGTTGTCAGTAATTGTAGTCCTGAACAAACTGTGCTATTAAGCATTTTTATTGCAAAAATGCTAGGTCAAAATGGGTTTTCTTCCTTGGATCTAAACTGTGAGCTCCTCTCAGAACAGAGATCTAATCCTATTCATTTTCTCTTCCACCAGCTGGTACTGAATTGGTGCTTAATGTCTGTGGTATGAGGGAAAGAACTGAAGTTTACAACCAAAATTTTTAATAAGACAAAAAATGAAAAACTCCAAAGTCACTGATTATAAAGAATATGCAATTCATTTGGGATTTATTGCATTTAAAGAAAGCAGATTATTAAAACAGGTATGATAAATACAGTAAGAAAATAACTTTACATTTCAAACAACACAAAGTGAATGGGGGACAGCATTCATCCAATAGGAATAAGCAATGTCAAGGCAAAGTAGTAAAATCAGTTAGTGCTTAAGTAGATATAGGAAGAAAAAAAGCAACTGGTTCTACCTCAGAACAGTTTCCCACCTATATTTGAATTGAAGTTACTTAGAAAGTACATTTTATAACAATTAGAAATATAATAAAGATGTAAATCAGGCTTATTAAAAGTTAAAGTTATTTGCTTAGTGGTACATAAAAGGCTTCAGAAAATTCAAGTTTAACAGAAAATGGAAGTGTAATCAAAGAAAGTGCACTTAAAGCTGTTTGCCAGCAATTAAAAAGCAGTTTACTATTACCATACTGCTTACTATTAGATGACTTTCAATCACAAAGAGTATAATAATAAAAACAATTCTTTCAAAAGTAGCGCAAGTTTTTAAATAAAAATAACCCTAAATGATGGCCCTTTGCATTTTCACCTGTCTACCATATTCTTTTAGTGGCTTCTGTAAACCCTCTCTAGGAGTGAAAGTTCTTTTCATCATGATTGTGGGTGCAATTCTATTTAAACTAAAAATTCACATTAACTCCCCCGAAGAGAGATGTGGCAGGTGTGTGTATGTGTGTGTTCATACATTTATCTTAATATATAAACACCAGTGTGTATAAGTTTTCAAATAAACTCATTTCTGTTACTCTCACAGTAAATACGCCACTCATTCTCACAGTAGATTTGTCTGCTCAATAGTGAACCTAAAATGAATAATTTTGCTTAAAAAAAGGTGTAATGAACATTCTACATATATTAAAATAAAGGTACCCACACTCCTCAGGACTAGTGATAGTAATACACATGTACCTTCTAGCAATGCTTATATGCAGTACCAAACCTAAAATAAACAAGCAGAGTAGCTGAATAGTGAGAAAACCACCCTGCCTGAGGAACATCAAAGCAGAAGAGTGGGCTCACCTTAGTCTTTTCCTCCAGCAAGATGAGGACAACAGCCTATCACACTGTTAAACAACAAACAGGGGAGAGCAAAAAGGTGCTTTTATCTACAGTCCTGAATATCATCATCGCTGTGCCCACACGCACACACACAGGGGAGGGGCGGGCGGTGGAACATTTACACCATGTCCCTGACGGATACTTTTGAATAAATATTCTGGTCAGTTAAAATTTCATGCAGCCTACAACCCTTTCTCCTCCACTTAATATGTATATACCAAGCAACTGTGCCTCAACAGATACATTCTTCAATGCCATAAAAGTTAATCTTTAAAATTAACATTTTGCTGAAGTGACACTACTAAAATAATTAAGCAAATGGTCCACTTCTATAGATTACTCAAAATCAACAAGCATGATTAAAGCTGTTAGGGCAAAAAAAAAATAACTTTGGCCTCAGATTTTTGCTAGCTTCATATTTAACTTCCCTTAGTGATGTTCAAGTATTACAGGTTTAGAGTTACAACTATTTAACATGCTAGAGAAGCACAGAGGACACTTGATTAATAGTAGGGAAATAATTTCTATTCACCCTTCCTTCCTCAAACAAGAATTGGACCATCCTGCTTTAGAGCCAAACTTTCACTGGGTGCTGTTAAACTTTTCCACATGCCTTTGGAGCGATGTTCTCATAATTCTCTTAAGGGAATGTCGGGACATCGGCCACACAGAGTCACCTACACGCTAACAGAAGTAGGAGGAGATGACTGAGGACAGAGAGCGGTCCTGAACCCACACTGCTTGGGAAAATGCCCCTGCCTCAGCACATGGGAATCTCCCCACTTCCATCCCACGGTGTCCCCCACTGAATCCTAAGTGTTTCCTCTGAGCTATAATCTGAAAGGAGGGAAGTCACTGGGCTGTGACATAAGAAATGTAAGAATGTAAATATTTTAAACAATGTCAATGCTGTTTCCTTAGAATGCAGCCAACATTACAAGCCAAAGTGTCTGTCAGTGTCTAAGTCATTAAAAAATATTCAGTGTATTGATGAAAAGAAAATGTAAGCAAGGCCTGGTGTCAGAGTCTAGATATTTCATGCTTACATCCTACGGAGACCACACTAACTCACCCACCAGCCCTTCTAACTACAAAATTCATGAAGTCTAGCAGAGACCAAGGCCAAGGACTAAAATAGTCAAAGAAGCATACTGTGCACATCAACCAACAGATTATCATTAAAAAAAAAAATTCTTCTGTTTGATACAAACCTACTTGGTAGTTCATGAGTTTACTATATGTAATCATCAAGTCTTCACTTTTAAAAGAAAGTATCCCTTGAATCTACTTTGTGAAGATTTTTAAAACATCTACTTAAGCATTTGCATTAGCAGTATTAATCAACCTGAGAGTCAGAAAAAAAAAAAAAAAGACAACACGTGCAAACACTATTTGCCTTTGGCACAGGACCAGTCGTGGGTACAGTCAGGCTCTAAGAGTGTAACTCGGACGCAGTAACGTCATGCTTGGTCTGCCTCTGCTAGCTCTGATTCACACATTGCTTCCCTGTTTGTCCACAAATGTTTGTTTTAAAACAGAAAAGAGAAGCAATAAAAAAAATGAATATATGGTATAGTTACACATACCTTGCTTCTTTCCAAGTTCAGAACTGTGAAAACAAGCACATAGCTCATCCCCATTGGGACACTATAATTAAGGGATTCTATCAGTAATATGATTACTCATAAAACACATTTTAATTGGGTTCAAAGAGAATTAATTTAAAATACAGCAATCAAGGAGAGTGCCAGGTGATAAGAGTTTCCACCCTTTTCGTAAATAACCTTTAACAGTTCTAGAAACTTCTAAATGTTAATTTGATAGGGAAAGGCAATTATAGGGAAGGACAGTTATTTTAAGTGTATTATAACTTAAAATACTTGAAGACAGAAGCACAGATACTAAATTCACATTCATATATATAATTTCTATCTCATTAGACAATTTCTATAAAAATCTCAAGTTTCTAATTAGGATTTGTGATATAAAAAAAAAAGGCAATTTGATAGCTGGGTTCTTTTCACTAAAGACACAGTCAACCAGCAGAGTTAACACACGAGTCCCTCATCATCTCACACTTACAGCCATCGTTAAGATCTCGCTCGTCAGTGCCAGTGCCGAGGTACTTGCGGCAGGAGCTGAGAGCCCTGCATGTAAGGCTTGTGGCTTTCACTGCTCTGTGCACTTCATTAAAACTACTCCGCCCTCCAAACCTAAATGAAAAACTGTCGCTCGTGACTTCGGGAATATATTTGGTGAAGGTGGTAATTTAATAAAGTACATTATTAAATGCAACATGATTTTACATTGTAAACATCTGAAAAACTCAGGGTTTCAGCTACATGTTTTTTTTTTTCCTGAAATAAAAGTTCTGTATAACCTTTGTCTTCACTCCCAGTTTTTCAATAAACTACTTTGTTAGGGACATGATAGTGTAAGTTTTGAGGAAGAAGCTATTCAAAAGCTGAATACTAAATATTCCTCAAGTATTGTTATTTTTTCTTTTTGTTCTAGGCTTCTATGTAGATATTCCATATTAATGGCACTTGTTTTTAAAAATAAAAGTTTCAGGCACAATAATTACTTCTGGCTCTGCTTTGTAGAGAAAGGTATAAGAACTAAAATCTCTGCATTCTCCAGATTATAACTTTCTGATTCTTTATGAGAATAAAGTTGTTTTACTGTGTGGAAGTTAGAAGAGATCTTTAAAAAGCCCACAAGTGCAAACTGTATTTGTACAGATAACCTCAGCTTTAATGCTGGCTTCTGGAATGAGCCTAGGGCATGCACCTAAAAGTGACATTCTAGTATAAAAATAACTCAGCTTCCCAGTCCCTCTTCAACGGCTAAAAAATGGGAAACAAGCCACATGCTTTCCCTGGATGTCTGTGCTCTCATCAAGCCCGTAGCTGAAACCCTGGGTCAGAGCTTCCAGTTCAGCTCCCTCTCTTCCTGTGTGGAAGAGACACCGAGTCACTACCCTGTGGAGATACTTCCTTTTTCTATTTGGTTTATTTAAAAATCACCTATTCTGATTGACCTGTAAGAATGAATTATATAAAGGGCTATACAAATCAATTTTCTTTCAAATTCATAAAACTATTCATACTTTTTTGAAACAGGGTTAACACCAAGTCCATCAGAAGTATCTACTGTTTAGAAGGAAATGGAGCAGCACCAAATGGGTCTAATTCAACTGACTGGGACTGTTGGGACTGAGGTGAAGTAATGCTTTGCACCACAAGTTCTGTAAAGGGGACGGCACCAAAATCATCCATTTTCAACGCATCTGCACTATGGAATGACCCATGGAGTGAATTGGGTCTTTGCCGCCCGGGCAGCACGGGATTATGGTCTGCGCGGAGGTCACTGAGGCCCTGATGTGGAGGGTGCCACTGCAGATCTGGGGGGTGGAAGGGCTTGGCCCCAAAGGGGTCCAACAGACTCTCCTCGGGAGGCAGGACATTCCCTCTGTCTTTCCCATCAGTCAGCGTAACACTGATGTTCTCCTTGGAGTCTGAGATGGTTAAAAATTCATTGCTGCTTTGAGAGTCTCGGCGGCCCACCTTTTTGTGCCTGCGGGCCCTCTCTGGAGTGCGGTAGGTGGGCTTCATGGTCTTCTTTGTGCCGGTCGGCGTGCCGTGGTGCCGCTTCCCGTTACTTTTGGACAAATCCTGTTTGGTGCGCCTTTGGCGCGAAGACAGTTTCTGTAAGCTACGCTGTTTAACCTTTTGCTGCTGACTCCCAGTTATTTCCTCAAAGGGCACAAGCCCAAAAACGTCCTCGTGGATGTCACTTTTACTTGTGGATGTGGGAAAGGGCTGAAATGGAGTGGAGCCAAATATATCTATACTTTTGGGACAACCTGAGAGAGTCTGCGCTTCAGGCCCCACTGCACGGCCGTCTTGTATGTTCACCTTTTTGCTAAAGGGTGCCTTTGTGAATACATCAAATTCCTCTTGCTCCAGTCCCACACTAGGAAAATAGGTCTGTTGAGAGAGGTTCTTTTCATTTTCCCTTTGTTGGGGCTGTTCAGCACGCACTGCAAAGAATGGGACGGCGCCAAACACATCAAACTCGTCTTTGGGGGTCTGCACTGCAGCATCACAGGGTAGCTGGGTTGGGCTGATGAGCGTTACATTAGGATCCTGGACTGGCCCACTGCCAGATTTGGCTCTGTAGGCAGGGCTCCCATCACTGTACTTGGTTTTGGCCTGTTCATACTCAGAATCAGAGCTGTGTTTCTCCTCCTCTTCCTCATCTTCAGAGTCCATGAGGAGGGGCCTATGACCCAGATTTTCTGGTTCAGTATCATCATCATTGAAATCTCCCTGTTCTCCCTGAAGAATTTCTTCATCCTCTTGCTCTTCCTCTTCACTGCTCTTAGGAGAAGGGGGATCTGATTCAAAATCACTTTCAGATTCATCATCTCCCTTCTGCACTTGACCCTGTAGTGATGAATTCACTGAGTTTTTCTTTCCAGCCCGGTGGTCTTTAGATAATGGACTTGTCTTTCTATCCTTGATAGGGATTGTAGAGCTGTTTTCTTCATCCATGGATGAATGTTCAATTTTCTTTTCAGGAGAACCTGCAGGTTCAAAAAAAAAAATTATTATAGCATTCTAATGCATGTCAAAAACCATTTCCACTAAACAGTACTTACTAATGAAGCATTCCAAATCTCTCGTACCAGTTCCCTTAGAGTAAGCTTTGTCTCTAGGCTTAGGGAACCGCACTTATTCTCACCAGGTGGCCAGGTCCTTCAGTGCCAACAGAGTCTCTGTTCCCTGTGTTCCACCTACTCATCACTCACACCCAGAGTAGAACTCTGAATATAGTACACAAGCAAACTTCCTTCTCCCACCTTCAAAATAAGACCATTCAGATAACTGCCCCTGCAAGTTTCTTTTATTTACCAAGCAACCTTTTGCTTGTATTTCAACTGTATTATAAAGTTTTCCCAGAGAGCAACAAGCATGAATAGCTTGTCTGCTTAACTATGTGTTTCACTGTGATTTTCTTAACTGGCATTCCATTTTTGTTTTTTTGTAAACGGGTACCTTATGAGTCGAGTTAGCATGACACCTATCCCCACAGCCTGACCACAGCTAAGGACCAGGTACTGAACTGAAACTCTGCTGGGGAGATCTGCCTTCTCTAGATGACACATCTCCCTATAACTATCATTTCTATACTACCAGACATTACTTTAAAAACATATGCTATGATACCCTTAAAAAAAATCTCAGCTATCACGATGGTCACCCTATCACTGGTGATAAAGTTGCATCACAAATAGAGTGTTTACACTTTCACTTTGGTATACACTAAAGATACATGTATTCCTTTACATGAAAATGTGCTGCCCTCCCAATATATTGGTGTAGTGAACTGATTTCCCAGAGGTAGGGATCAAACTGAATTGACTCAACTGCATATCCATCCCCCGTTTTTCCTCCTGTGACTAAGATCACATACTTTCAAAACCATTAGCTAGGGTTGGAAGTATAGTCTGTCGTCGGGAAAACTGCTTAGCTTACAATGGATTACCACTTTCCCGCTACTACCATGGCGCTCCCTGTGGCATATGACACCTCAAGTGACTTCCTTTTCTCTGGAAGTCAGCTCTGTGGTCGTCCCTCCTCTCTTGCCCATTCTTTCTTAGTCGTATTTGTAGACTCCTCTTTCACCAGCATCTCCTTCAACGCGTGTGTTCCCCAGGGTTCTATCCTTGGTTGTCCTCCCTCAGCATGCCTTCCCTGGGTCTTAACTAATGGATGTTAATGGTCACATACACCAGAATGACTGGATCTCTAACACTTACCATGAACAATTATCTATCTTACTTATTCATCTAATACTTATCATTAATATGTATCCTACCATTACTTCAAACTCAATAATTTCAAAATAAATCATCCTTCCTCTTAAAATGGGCTCCTCACCAGTTCTTCTCAATTCTTACAGAAAAGCACTTCCTTCTACCTTGTTCTATAAAACAGCAAAAAGTCATTTATGCTGAAAGTCATTTTCCCTCTTCCTACCAAATAGTGTTTTTAAAATCTCTTGAATCTGTTCCCTTCTGTCCTTCTGCCAGTTGTTTATTTCATTCCCTCCTCATCTATCATCCTGCCGCTCTCTAGCACTAAAACTTCCCACCTGCCTCCAGTCCCATGCCACTCAAACTGCTCCTCTGCCCTGCCACCAGTGTGACTTCCGAAACACTAATCATGTGGCTACTACTTAAAACCTGTTAGTGGCTCTCTAACGTCCCACCCTTAGCCCACACAGGGTGCCCTTCTCTGGATCTGTCCTACCCCATCTTTGGCCTTGGACCCTGATGTCTCCCGTGGGTTTTCTTCATTACAGCCACACCTGAACTCTCCCTACTTGGGAACTGAGCACATTTGGAGAAAGTGGATTTTGTTTGTTGTTTTTTAGCCATCTAGCTATCCAACCTCTTAAAGTTTGCTATCAGAAGCTGAGGAGCCTAAGAGATTTGGGTGTCTGGGGGCACTCTGCTGTTTTAACATCCTTCTACCATTTAATACGATACCTCAGCAGGAATATCCTAGCATTTGCACGCCCACCTGACTTGCCTAGTAGAACTGGCTGTATTTCAGGACCCAGCCTTGTCACAGCCTTTTGGAGGCACCCCTTGAAAAACACCTGTATTTGGTGCTCCTGATGAATCTAGTGCAAGCCTTAATTATAGCACCTACTGAACTGTATTACAATTATTTGTTTAGTTGCTTGGTTTCCTACTTAATTATGAGCTCTTAGACATAGGCATATTTATCACTTACCTCATGTACCATTCACTTCTACCCTAGTACTGTGCTGAATCAGTATTTATTGAATGAAACAATTAGTGACTACTCTGGACTCACAGCTATGGACACATACACAGTCAATATATTCACAGTACAATAAAGAAAGTTATTTAGAAAAATAAACCCTTTACATTTGGAGATGTTTTCAGCTCAGAATTCAGTTAGTTACATTTTTTGATTCAGCAAAAACATACGATCCTTTATTACATGCTATATACACTGATCGTACATCCGTGTATACTCCGGGAGTTTACAGTCAGGTGCAGAGACAGCACAAGGACGCAGACTATGACTGGTGCTCTGAAAGAACAGCAGGGGCGCGAGTCTGGGGCGGGGAAGGCATCGGCCTACTCTGGACAGTCAGCAAAGGCTCCCCGTGGGAACGACTGAAAAGTGACCAGGACAGGCAGAAAGCTGCTCCAACTAAAAGCTCCAGCATGTGTGAAGGGCAATTTAAGAAAGAGGTTGGCATGGGCGAGGGGCTGAGAGCACAGTAAGTGAGCACAGGGAACACTGTACAACACGAGGCAGGAGCAGAGGGGAAAGGACCAAACCAGGAAGGTCCCTTTACGGCCATGACAAAGAGTTCGGACTTTGTTCTAAATTGTAGAGTGGGAAGCCATTACAGGCTTTATTTAAAATGAGTATCATGATCAGACTGATATTTCAAAAGATATCTAAGGAGAGGGTGCAGAGCGGGGAGATCAGGGAAGAGGAAATTGGTCATTCACTAGAGAGTAGGGCGGCTGCAGGGTCGGAAGAAGTGGAAGAAGTATAAGAGGCTGAAGAGGAAAACTCTGGATGGATGGTAGTGCTATTAACAGAAAAGAGTGAGTAAATAAGTTGAGAGTGGAGAACATCATCAAGCATTGGTTTTGGACACACAGCTTGCAGTATCTGTGAGATAGCAAAGTGTGAGCTGATATCTGAGGCTTGAGCACGATGGTTGGTTTTTAGCTGGAGAAAACAGGTGTGGGGGTCACTGCCATGCAGGGGATATGTAGTGAGTCACAGGTCCGAAGAAAATCACCTAGGAAGAGAGAAGAGGAAAAGGGAAGGGAATCCTAATGTTTGAGACCTCAGATGACAAACATTTACAAGTCAGCAAAGGAACCTGCAAGATGAACTGAAAAGTGCCAGAGAAGAGGACTAAAAGCAGGTGCTTGCAATGTTACAGAGGGTAAGGAAGTGTCTCCAGGAGAAGAAGCAGACAGCTGAGCTGGGGGGATGCAAAGAGCTCCAATGAACTGAGGACGGAACACGGCCATGGGCTCTGGCCAGCTCTGCAGTCAGTTGGCAATCCTGATGTGAGCAGAGGGCAGGAAGCCTAGTGGGGCTGTGTGAAGGCGAGAGAAGACATGGAGAGTTCCATCATATTGTGCTTAAACCCAAATATAATCTTCATTCATTATTCACCTGCCCAGGGAAGAAACCAGGGGAGAGCCATTGGCTGTTCCTTGACATATTTATAATGGCTTATCTTAAATCCTAACAGATTAAACCCAAATCAAATGCAGATTCTCCATTGGACTTCCCCATACAGCATATTTCTGACACAAGAAATAAAGATTACTTTTAGATTAGCCATGGAATTTATTTTCATGAATTTTTATTCAAAAGCAAAAGATTTAATGGCAAAGACACGCAATCATCCCTCACGCTGGGCAATCTCCTCTATGGTGCATTACAACATATTAGCTCCTCAAGCTACCGACCCATGCACAGAGAACCACAATGTGCACCCCTCATGCCTGCTCAGGCACGCCTTCAGGAACATTCCAATGTTTCCCAGAGTGTGCCCTGCAGAACACTGCAGCCATAACGAGAACCAAACCGCTCCACGGTCTCAGGTAGCAGAGTGTATAAAATGCTGCACTACATGATGTGCCACCGCCCCTGCTCACCTAGAAGATGCGCATGTATCAAAGGTGCTGGCAAGCCATACAGAAAAGAATCTGTTTAATGTTATGAAGCCCAAACTTCCCAAATCTGCTTCACTACACTTCTATTTACATGAAACAGCGATTAACCTTCATAAACAATTTTTCCAAAAGCATTTTGGGAAAATGCTGCCCTACAACTTCTCTGGGAAAATTTCCATTTCTAGGGCACAGAGTTTTGTTTCTAAAGATCTTCTGGAACGTTTAACATAGGACAAAAATCCTCCAATTGACCTTCTTTTTTTGTTATTCTTATATTCCAACCCCAGTCTTCTAAATCAACTTTCCTTTACCCAGCTGGCCAACACGGCTTTCCAATCACAGCTGTCACCTACCTCTCACCCTGTCTGCCCTCCGTCAGCATCTCAAGGCTGCATTCATAGAGATACGCATTTCTTGGTTGTGAAGTGCCATACAGAACTATATTTTAATTATCAGTGTGGATATAAATTTGTGGAGTTTTTTTCATTTTTAGTGCATCTTTACAGATAGCAGTAAGAGTCCATTATTATTCTGATCAAAACATGACAGAACATTGTATATACAACGTTCAACTACCTATAGAACCTCCAGGTGGTTTCTAGTCTTTTCAGCACTTTAAATAGAGCCATGACCATGCACTTTTTCCTGGAGGGAGAAAAATAATAAAATTCCCCCTTTTAAATATCAATTTTACTTTATCGATTTACTTTCCCCCCCTTATGCATAATATACAGCTAATAAAGTTAAGCCAGTAACAATCTCTGCATAACATCAGAGTTAAATGCTCTCTGTTCCCTCACACATAATGAGGGAGTATGTAATATATACTATCA